AGGCAGCTTCTGGCAAACAGCTGGGAAGTCAGAGCTCTCTGGGCAGGCAGCTCCTCCTGGCGTCTCTCACCAAGTTGTGCCAGTTCCTGGGGCCTTTCATCCATGAGCAGAAGCAGCCCCAGAAGGCCCTGGATGAACTGGCTGCGCTGCAGCAGCAGGTCGTTCTGCAGACGGGCACCATGCTGCTGCTGTGCTCAGCATCAGGGGCCCAGGGCCAGCACCTGCCCGAGGCCCTCATCGCTTCTGCCACCACGCTCCTGGAAGCAGACCTGAGCTGGCACTGTGGGGACAGAGGAGCAGACACAGGGCCACCCCTCCATGCTGCCTCCCACCAGGGCATCCACTCTCAGATCTTGTCGGAGCTGCTGGCTCTGGCGGGCAACTCTCAGTCCTTCCAGGCAGCTTTGCAGTATTTAACTCTGTTCTTTCTGGCCCCAGAACTCCATCCCAAGAAGGGCTCCGTCTTCACCTCCCTGTTTCATTCTGTGAGAAAAGTTCTTGCAGGTAAGAGGATTTCTGTTAGAGCTGATTCCGTGCTATCGAGGTTCAGGTAAAAGGGAGCGCTCCCCCATTTGGAACAGGGAGTAAGTGGACACGTGGTGCATGCAGAGGGGACCACCTGAGCACCCTGGGAAGCTCCCTCCCAGTCCCGGTGCCAGGACGTCCTCTCCACCAGCCGCATTCGGCCCATGGGGCAGCCACCGTCACAGCTGTCTCTGCACGTGTTAGGCAGACGGCAGCCTCTGGTGCGGGCTCAGCTCCTCAGTTGCACACTTATTTTGGACATTGTTCTGTATAAGTTTATAATTCTGAAATCTACTCCTTTTCTCTTTTTTTAACTGGTCCTGGCCACAGATGATTTACTTAGGTAATTTCAGGCTCTCCTGTATCAGGTCTTCAATGCCATAATTTACACCTTTAATAAAGTGTAAAATCTGCAATCTTTTAAAAAAATTCGTATGGCTTAAATTCTGGAGATCCTCATAGGGTTCCTTGAGGGTGGGCCCCAAGTCTTCCCAGAGCAGCTCCTGTCCCTCTCAGTGTGGTGCTGATGGGACAGCGGCCCGCCCACGTGTCACCCTTCCAGGCTAGCCAGCAGGGCCTCAGACAGAGCTAGTGGCGAGAGGGCTGAGGTCTTTGTGTACCAAGAGTTGACCCCTGCAGTCCCCTAGGACAAAGATTAATGGGCTACTATGCACTCACTAAAATGATGATGAAAACTATTCAGAAATACACCCCAAAATAATAATTTTAAGCAAAGAAACTCCACAACATATTGAATTTGCCATGATTACAACTATATAAAATATACATGCATGTAGACAAGGGCTAGAAACCTATACAAAAATTTTAAAGTGATCATATTAAAGTGTTGTAATTTTTTCTATTTTTGTACTTTATACCATTTTAATATTGTATTGTAATAATTGTAATAGGTCAAGTGCTTTTCTATGACTTAATTAAATTTGCCATAAGCAGGGGATAGATTATGATATTTTTGGATGCCCATTTAGAGCTAGTTAAGGTTTTCCTCTAAAAACACCTATATACAAATAAATAGTAAAAGATTATTAAGATTTGTCACCCTTATTAATGTATAAAAATAAAACATATTTTTACTCTCCTGAGAAACAGAAACTGAAATAGGTCACCTTTCTTCCCTGTTTCAAGACAGCATGCACCACAGGTGGCGTAGGTTTTTCTTTTTCGTTTTGGGTTGGGGTTGGAGTCGGACAGTTCTGAGGTGAGGCTGGGAGGGGCTCAGGCAGGCCGGACCCTCAGGGCCCAGCTGAGCTCCGCGTTTCCTCGTGGAGCAGCTGGCACAGGCCGGGCTGCAGGCGAGCTCTGCCCACGCGAGGGTTAAAGAGGCTGTCCGGGAAGCGAAGCCACCTGGTGTGCCTGGGCCTGCCTGTGGGTTAACTGAGAAGGCTTTGACACTGCGTCCTGCTGTCTGGCCCTGTCAGCGACTCTGCTGGAGTGCTGTTCACCTTTGTGGTCGGTCTGTCTCCATTAAGACCAGTCACAGCATCACTCATGCGGCAGCTGGTGGTTTGCAGCTCTGGCCCTCTGCCCCTGGTTGCGCAGAACACCACATCCCCGTGTCTCCCACCCCGGTGAGATTAGGCAGTCTGTCAGCCCCAACTGTGTCCCTGCACTTGTGGTGCCGCTGACCTCAGGGACGGGGCCGCAGTCATGGGAAGCACCAGACTGGGGAGCAGTCCAGGCAGACACCAGGGAGAGGGGCCCCAGGCTTTGGACAGGGAGAGGCTTCACATCACTGAAGTGCAACCATGCAAGCGAGCCTGCATGTCCCCCATGTCCTGGGGACACAGAGTGGGCTTCAGCTCATAAAGATGAGCTTTGGTAAAGAGTGCTTCCTGACGGAGGACAGGCTAACCGATTCGGTTACGGGAACCAGCTGGCGGGAGAGCTTAGCGGGTGAGAGCGCGGGGCTGGTGACACCAAGGTCCAGGGCTCGATGCCCACACCGGCCAGCCACCAGAAAAAAAAGATAATTCGATTATGGAAACCAGTGCTTTTCAGCATGCTTCCGTGGGTGTGGCACTGCACCCTGTGCTGCAGAGGGGGAGGTGTTGGCCATGTCTGGGTACACCGTGGACGCTCACCCAGATGGCAGGGCTGAGAGGCGCAGGCAGCTAGTGGGGCCTTACCTGCGAGGCCCACCCTCCGCCTGGGTGCTGGTGCTGTCCCGCCCACTGCACTGCTGGGGCAGTGGAAGCTCAGGTCCCGAGTGGGTGTGACGGTTCTCCCAGAGCTCTCCACCCAGTGCCATAAGCAGGGAGCAAAGCAGGGAAGGCGTCCGGCAACGTGGAGGGTCTGATGGGGCTGAGCACAGGCTGGACAGATAGGCTGGGGGCAGGAGATAAAGGGTCCCGGTGCCCTCACCTTGGGTTCTATTATGAAACTCCCGGAAAACAGCTGGATGACATCAACAGGCAGTCTGGAAAGGTCTAGGCTTCTTCTTACCTTTTCAACATTCCTGTCTAAGAACACCACCCTATCCTGCACCCCTACTGATTTTATAAGTACAGGAACATAGGGAAAAAAGCACGAACAAAGTGGGGGTCACCTGTCTTGTATGGTTCAGCGTTCGCTGTTCCACGCACGATGGTCATCGTCTGTGTGCATGTGTGCACCATGCACAGGTGCAGCGGGTGAGCGTGTCCCAGCAGTGCATTTTCATGGTGGCTCTGTAGTTTATTCCACCTGTCCCTTGTCTGTCACATCTTAACACTTTGGTTCTTTTCCACACAGATCCTGAAATTCCTGCTGAGGTAACTTGGGCTGTTGAGCCT